CTCTAATCTACATCACCAATGTACTCGAAGTACCTAGTGAGACACAATTGAATATCAACTGGAAGTTGATTTAAAAGAGAAGCCAGATATAATCGGGACCATTGATATAAGTAGAGTGACTATACTACTTAGGAGAACAATCTTGTCATGTGCTTGGGGTAAATTATCCCAAGATGAGTTATTTCATTATTTGACAGCTAGTGACCTGGTGTAAATTCATTTTCCATAAGAAATTGATGGACTATCAATCTAGAAATATCTCCGTGGAAAATATTAATCACCTGTGATATTTTGATTAATTGACAATCAACTTGAAGACAAGTTCCTTTCTATAGTTCAAGCAACTCTATTTATAGAAACCAAAGATTTGATTGTACAAGCAACTAAATCACAAGAACTCAGATTAATTGACTTCAACGGCTAAATTGATCTGCTCAACAATCGTCTAACAAATAGCTTGGAGAATGATCATCATGAAGATTGTCCAATGGGAAGATTGGATTTTGAGAATAAAAGGAGATCAATATGACGCCAACAGAGCGAGAGATCAAAAGTGACAAAAATCCATAGAGAAAGCTTTACGTTCTTAGATTGTCTTTTCAAGCATTTTGAAAGTGTAATATCTTGAGAAGTATGTTAGTATTATAGTTTGCGCTTAGGTGCATGATAGGGACACCTATTTGCTTGGGTAGAAGTAGTACTGGCTTCGGAAGAAGTGCTTAGGTATAAGCGGCACATACTACTACAACTACTCAAAGATTGCTAGTGGAATCCAACTAGTAGGCTATTAGTTTGGGAGAGTGGATGAAGGCTTGCATCAAGCAGAATCAATATAAAGCTTCGACTGCATCGTTCTTTATCTTTTGCTTATATTCATTACTGTTTGATAGAAACGCACAGCACTAGCTCATATTACCTTTTCCCTCGTATATCAACACAACTACTTATATTTGGTGTTACGCTTATATCAAACTTGACTTTTATAATTTTGCAGAAGTTAGTCAACTTTCTTGAATTCACCTATTCAGCCCCCCCTCTCGGTGACACTATTAGCCACAACAAAGTGAATTTATTCAAAGTTAACTAAAAAGTATGGAGTTATAATATGTTTATATGTAGATGATATGCTAATAGTCGGTACAAATATACATGGCATACAAGAAACTAAATTGTATCCATCTTTTCTATTTGAAATAAAAGTTTTGGGAGAAGTTGATACAATTTTAGGTATCAAAATGATCAAACATAGTGGGTGTTACACTTTAAATCAAGGCCACTATGTGGAGAAAATGATTCAAAAGTATTAGCATTTGGGAATTAAAGAGTCAAATGTACAATATGATATGTCAATTAAATTGATAGAAAGTACAAGATCCTTTAACACAATGAGAATATGCTAGTACAATTGGAAGTCTGACGTATGCCATGCATTGCACTAGACTAGATATAGCCTTTATTGTGTGTAAATTGTCCAAATTTACTAGTAATCCTAGTACCATGCATTGGAAGACCACAAGTAAAATTCTTGGTTACTTAGAGAAAATAATAAATAATGCTCTATTTTATGGAAGACAACCAGCAGTACTAGAAGGAAAATTCATATGCTAGTTCAATAGGGAAAATTACCAAAATAGTCCTAAATCTATTGCAATTAAGCCAATTCAGTCCTAAACATCTTTTTTGTGTCAATTCAGTCCTAAACCTTTTACATTTATGTCAATTCAGTCCATCTGGCCAATTTTGGCTGGCCGGTGATGACATGGATGCCAGCTAGCACTGGTCGTCCAGCCAACACTAACGTGGCAATTTTTTAATATATATTTTTATTTTTTTCAAATTTTTTTATTAATTTTTCCTTGTTTTTCTTTTCTTTTCCTCTCTTTTTTTTTTCCTCCCTTCATCTTTAACCTCTAGCTGGTCACTGGTCCGGCAACAAGCCAGAGGCAAGGTTTGGCGAGGTCGGCCCCGCCAAGCGCTGGCGAGGCTCCTCCTCGCGCTAGAACGGCGCAACGCCGAGGTTAGGCAAGGTCGACCTCGCTAGCGACGGCAAGGACGAGCCTTGACAGTTGTAGATGAGGCTCGTCCTCGCCTAGCAGTGGCACAACGGCAAGGTCGGCCGTCCAACCTTGCCAGTGATGATGAGCCTCCCTAGATCTGGCGAGGTCTCATCCTCACCATCGCTGGTGAGGCTCATCCTTGCCCAGTACGGCTCAACGGCAAGGTCGACCAAGGCCCACCTCGCCAATTCTTCCTCGTCGTTGCTATCGAGGGCTCGTCCTCACTGACTAGTGAGGTCGGCCTTACCTGACCTCGTCATCGCACCATTGCTAGGCGAGGATGAGCCTCGCGGAACACTAGCGAGGTCGGCCTCACCAGCGGCCAGTGGGGTCGAAGTTGCCGGGCCTAGCCTCTGGTCGATCGCCGGTCCGGGGATAGGCTAGAGGTTGAAGATGAAGGGAGAAATAAAGACGAAAGGGAAAGAAAATAAAAAAAGAGGAAAAATTAACAAAATAATAAAAATAATATTTAAAAAATTGCTACGTCAACATTAACCGGATGGACTGAATTGGCACAATTACAAAAGGTGTAGGATTGAATTGGCGTAAAAAAAAAAGATTTAGAACTAAATTGGCACAATTACAATAGGTTTATAACTGTTTTGATAATTTTCTCCAGTTCACCAACTAGCATAATTGATAACAAGTCATCATCTAGATGGGTTTTCAAGCTTGCAAATGATGTAGTATCTTGGGCATCAAAGAAGCAAACACGTATAGCTCATTCAACGATAAAATCTGAATTTATAGTACTATCAGTGGCTGATAAAGAGGCTGAATGGTTCCGTAATTTGCTATTAGATATAGAGTCGTGATAACAACTAATGACAATAATATCTTTACAATGCAATAGTGAGGCAACAAATGTCTAAGGTATACAATAAAATATATAATTGAAAATCTATACATATTAGTTTGCAGCTTGGGTATGCTCGACAATCATTTACTGAAGAAATTATTTTAGTAATTTAGTTTCTAACAAATAATAACTTGGCTGATCCATTCACTAAGGGACTATTGAGAGGTTTAGTTAGCAGTATTGCCAAAGGAATAGGTGTTAGACCAATTGCTAATAGTCAAGCATAGTGGAAACCAAACTTTACAATTTCTAACGAAATTGTCAAAGTCCAATGGTAACAAGTTATTGTACCTTAAACAGTGATTGAGTATGTGGCACAAGGTTAGTACTCATAGAAAATTAGGAGGATGAGTGTAAGAAAGCACTCTTAATGAAGTTCAGGTTTTAGCAATGTAAGGCTAAGGTACAAATTTGGAACTTCATCTATACGAACATAAAAAGTATGCCGCTTCTAACTTCATTCCTTGATCAAAAGACTAGTCATGTTCACAACGCACAAATTTTGGTGACTGAACATTCTTTGGATATTGGTCCAAATATATCTTTTGGTAGAAATATTAAACTAGGTCTAATTTTTTTTTTCGAAACACGGGCTCTCGTCTCTTTCTCCCCTTGTTGGTACCATGGATAGTTTACTATATTAATTTTCAGCGAAGAAATAAAACAGTGCCAAGAATTCAGAATACTTTTCATAGCATGATCCCGTTTAGTCCAGGATTGATTAGACCATTTGGAGCGAGAATATCTTTCAGTTTTCTTCAATCCCAGTGCATGGGGACGCAATCTCTTCTATTATGGAAGGCAAAAAACGATCCCCGTGATTCACGTACTATCTTCCACTTTTTTCTGGGGGGCCAACAATATTCCCAAGTGCTGTTATCGATGGCTTGCGCAAATAAAGCATTGGGACCCGTTACACGTCGTACCGCACTCGAGAACAACGAAATTGATTTTTGCTTCAATAATGAGAGAGTTTACGACACTCGAAGATCGCACTACGATTAAAGAAATCAGAAAGAAACCACTTTTGCTTTAATGAAAGTGAGCTTTGCTTTCACTTACCCGTGTTGAAAAGACGCCAACACCCATTTCACTCGTCAAGAGCAAAAAATCGTGGCTGTCCTGTCATAGGATACATTTGTTGTGGTAAGTGGTTTTCTTTTTCAAAAAAGAGAAAAAAGTTGGAACATGAGAGCGGGGTCATCAAAAGTACGTTCATTTGGGATAACGATTTGTTTTTTGTGTTCATCTTGATAGAGCAAAAATTGTTAAACTAATAATATTCTTACCCAAAATTTTTTAATGGATATAACTTTGCTTCCAAGTGTTAAATATTATTGAGTAGAATTGACTCAATTTTAATGTGTTTAATGAGAACTACGACAAAAGATCCTGAAAAGTCATCCATCCTAATTATGCTCTTATTGTTTCCCATGAAAAAAATGATGACTAAATTATCTACCAGAATCTGACCAAAATAAAAATCTACCAAACAAATGGAAAAGTCACACTTGGCTGCTTAAATTAGTGTTCTCTAATTATCAAGCTTTGACATTTCTGTCCTCAAAGAAAGGTGGACAAAGAAGTCCAAAATCTTGTATATGGAATACAATCGAGTACTAAATTTTTCAATTGATTCAATTAAGTTCCAAACCTTCTTCAAAAGTGCAATTAAATCTTTTCAATGAACAATATCTAAAATTATCTCGTGTCACTCAAAAAGTGTTTATAAATTGCACTTTTCAACATAATTATAGGATTATGACAAAAAAACATAATTTTAGGATTTAATAGCAATTCTTGATAAAGTTAGAGGACTTAATTTAATCAATTGAAAAGTTCAGGATTCGATTGCACTTTTTCCTAAAAGTTTAGGATTTGATTTAACCAATTGAAAAGTTTAGGATTTGATTGCATTCATATAAGATTTCGGATATTTAGGACTTGTAATGCAATTTTTTCCCTAAAGGAAACGTCTCGAAGATACTAGGAAGTAACAGCTGGAATAAAATTATGCGTACACAGTACATGAAAATTTTGTCCCTTCTTCCTCTTAAATAACAATATAAAGGAACTCCGCCTATATCTGCTTTCTCCATAAGTTTAGGTTCGTGCACTTCCGAAACTTGAAAATCATGCCAATCTCAGTGTTTCAAATCCTTTTGTTTCTGGTTTCCCTCACGTTACAAGCATCAGGAACTGCACCTAGACTTGCAAAGCCTAACTGTACTGAAACGTGCGGGGACGTCACCATTCCCTTCCCCTTTGGAATAGGAGCCCGGTGTTTCTTGGACGATTGGTACCAGATCGTCTGCGAACAAAACAACGCGGTTCCCATTCTAAAGAAGATTGGATTGCGAGTTCTCAACATTTCACTCCCCGATGCATACGTGGATGGCATGATCAATGTTAGTCTTCCTGTAATTTCCTCAAATCCAAACTGCAGTGGCAGTGGATTTGGTGTGCCGGTGAGCTTTGAAGGAGGTCCATTTGTCTTCTCCCGGACAAGGAATGTCTTTACATTCGTCGGTTGCAACACCCTGGCGACAGTGATTAGTACAGAATCAGCTGTTGTCGGTTGCTGGTCGAAATGTGATGGAACCAACACCAGCATTAGCCAGGATAGTGCTTGTTCTGGGGGGGACGGCTGCTGCCAGACTAAGCTCCCCCTTAACCTTCAGGGCTTTAGTGTGGATTTCAAAGAAGAAGGTGAACATCAGGGGTGCAAGTACGCTTTCTTGAGGTCTGACTTTACAGGTTTATATGATTTGAGATATAATAAGACGGTTCCGGTGGTGCTGGAATGGGGGATTGCGAACAATACTGAATATGGACGTAAGCTTATCAAGCAGTCAAAGACATCTTATCCTTCCTTGTGTAGCAGATACGGGGACGACCAAAGTGAAATGCTATTTACGCAGTGCTATTGCACGCGGTGCTCTTCCGCGCGGCAGTATGGTTGTAACCCATATCTTATTGAAGGATGCACAGGTAACATACTTCCTGCTATCGCATTCCGTATTTAAGGGTACCATACAGCGAAGTTGTTTGTTCATTCCCAGATTTTTCGCTGAGAAGAACGCATTCACACTTTTTAATGACTGTATACATGCTTTTCGGCCTAATACCATAAAAAAAACTCCAACTTTAGCTCCCGTCCCATTCCTATTCTAAATTATTTTCATTTGATAAAAAACCCTCAACTTTTGGTCAGTTCCAATTATATCTTAAACTTCTTTTTATTTCATAAAAAATCTATTCTAACTTGAATTTTTTTGTCTAATAAAAAAACACCAACTTTTACTTGAGTCCCATATCTACAACAGTTAACCCTCGGTCCAAAATCGCCCTTAGTGGTGTGGCATTTCCATGTCATTGCTCTAGTATTTTCTTAAATTTCATATCCAAGAAGATGTCTTTTGGAGATAAATTTCCATGTCAGCCCAAACGACATCTTATTGCATCTGAAATTTGGGTAAAAACTAGACCAATTAGGGTTGGCTTTCTTCAATTGCTCTTACTCTTGAGAGAGTTTTCCTTCCATCTAGCTCGGGGATCTTCGATTTTGCTCTTTGTCTTCAATCTCTTGTGCTCGGGATTCTTCCATTTCATGTGGTCGGAGAGCTTACGCTTGAGACACTTGGCTTGGGACTCTCGAACAGTTTGCGCGGGGGAGTTTTCCATATCTTGGTTGTCAAGAGAAATTTTAGACAGAGGGTTAACAAAGGCAGATTTGGCACTGAAGTAAAAACTTGTGATTTTTTATGAGACAAAAAAAATTAGGGTAGAATTGGGATTACACCTAAAGTTTGGGCCTTTTTTGGGACAAAAAAAGTTCATAGTAGAATTGGGACTGGACCTAAAAATGGAGTTTTTTAGGGTATCAGGCCCATGCTTTTCTGCCTTCTTTTTGTTAGTTTTTCCTGCCCAAAATTACACAAAGTGAATGCCCTTTCAAGCAAAATTGAACGAATTATATTGATAATAATATACTGGAAATAAAGGGGAACAGGACAGTCCTTTCGTTACAAGCACAACATTTTAGCCATGGAATTAAATATTTATGAGGAAATGAGGCCTACTAGTTTTGGTAATTTTACTAAATGAGATGGGTTTCGCTGCTAATATATTTTCTTCTGGTTTCCCTCACGGTACGACCATCAGGATCTGCACCTGGACCTCCAAGAGCTCCACCTGGACCTCCAAGACGTGACTGTAATGAAACATGCGGGAAGGTCACCATTCCCTTCCCCTTCGGAATAGGAGCCGGGTGTTTCTTGGATGACTGGTACAAGATCGACTGCCAACAAAACACGATTCCCATACTAAATAAGATTGGAGTGCGAGTTCTCAACATTTCCCTCCCTGAGGTAGACTTGCCTGGCATGATTAACATTAGTCTTCCTGTAATTTACTCAAATGCAAGCTGTGGGGTTGACGGACGTGGTGCAGCGGTAAGCTTAAAAGGAAGTCGATTTGTCTTCTCCCGTACAAGGAACGTCTTTACATTGGTCGGTTGCAACACCCAGGCGACAGTGAATAGTACAGAATCAGCTGTTGTCGGTTGCCGGTCGAAATGTGCTGGAACCAACTTCAACATTAGCAAGTACAGTGCTTGTTCCGGGAGGGACGGATGCTGCCAGACTAAGCTCCCCTTGAACCTTCAGGGCTTTAGCGTGGATTTCAAAGAAGAAGGTGGACATCAGGGGTGCAAGTACGCTTTCTTGACGTCTGATTTTACAGGTGTATATGATTTGAGATCGAGTGATACGGTTCCAGTAGTGCTGTTGTGGGGGATTGCGAACAATACCAACTATGCACTTGAACTTATCCAGCAAGATTACAACGCAAAATACAACTCAAGCTATAGTACTCCTTTCGCCTGTAGCAGAGACTGCATCGACAGCAGAGACTGCGTCGACAACAGTGAAATGCTATTTACACGGTGCTACTGCGGACGGGGGTATGGTGGCAACCCCTATGTTATTGGAGGATGCCAAGGTAACGTACTTCATGCTATCCCATTCCGTATTTAAGGGCACCACACAGCGAAGTGGCTAGTTCATTTCCAGATTTTTCTCTGAAAAGAATTCATTCACGCTGTTTAATGATCACATACATGATTTTCTGCCTTTTTTTTTTACCCAAGATTGCACAAAGTGAATGCACTTTCAAACAAAATTGAACAAATTATATTGATAAAAATTTACTGGATATAGAGGGGAACATGACAGTCCTTTCGTCACAAGCATTATATTTTAGCCATGGAATTAATAATTTACGAGAAAAGGCGACCTAGTAGTCTCGCCAATTTTACTCAAAGAGATGGGTTTTGTTGCTAATATATTTATTATATCATTTGTTATCAGATATTAATGAATGTGAAGATCCAAATATGTGCTCCGGGACTTGCGTGAACAAACAGGGCTCATATGATTGCGTCAATGGTAGAAAGACAGCTAAATTCATTCTTATTGGTAAGTAGATCTTTTAACCTAGAATTTTAGACCGGTTCATGCTCTTGATTATTGTTAGAAAAAAGAACAGCATAAACGGAAATAAATTTTACCTTACCCTTCATTCTGGCAGGATTGTCCATTTGCTTGGTGATGATTATAGATAAGTTTCGATCAATAGTATCTATCAAAACAACCTCGAAACTTTCTTCGCACCCTAATACTATTTGATAGCTAAGACCACACTTAGAACTTTTCTAATGTCGCCGCTTCAGATCTATCAAAAGATAACCAAGGGTCCTACTTATTCTTGTCATATTTGAATTGGAATTATTACAATAATAATCAAGATGAATACTGGTAGGCATTCTTTCACTTTCATCAATGGTTTTCTAAATTCCTTGTAATGGAGATCAGCTGTCCAGTCCAGATGTATGTATGAAAATATCACCTGATGGAACTTAAACAGGAGACAAATTAATTATTCAAGGTCGTTAAGATAAATCCACATGAAAGGAGCTCAGGTTAATCACTCTTATATGATTTCCTTTTAATCAAATTCACTACTATTCTTGATGATAAGACCATATAGATACTTGACAATAAGGGTACCTTTTTTGGACTTTTTCCCCTCAAATTTTTGTAATGCAGGGGTTGGAGCTGGCCTTGGGGCACTATTTTTGTGTCTTGTCTTATGGGGGTTGTACAAATACATCAAGAAGAGAAAAGAAATAAAGCTCAAAGAGAAGTACTTCAAACGCAATGGTGGTCTTTTGTTGGAAAGTGAGCTATCTTCAGCCGAAGGCAATGTCGAGAAAAACAAATTGTTCAACTCCAAGGATCTAGAGAAGGCCACTGACAATTTCAACGAGGATAGGATACTCGGGCAAGGTGGACAGGGTACTGTTTACAAGGGAATGTTAACAGATGGAAAAATAGTTGCGATTAAGAAATCGAAAGCGATATACGAGGGCCAAGTCGAACAGTTCATAAATGAAGTCCTCATTCTCTCACAAATCAACCATAGGAATGTGGTTAAGTTATTGGGGTGTTGCTTGGAGACGGAAGTCCCGCTTTTAGTATATGAGTTTATACCAAACGGGACTCTATACCAATATCTGCATGACCCAAATGAAGAGTTTCGTGTATCATGGGACACACGTCTACGAATTGCAACTGAAATTGCCGGAGCCTTATTCTACTTGCATTCAGCAGCCTCTATTCCCATTTATCATCGAGACATCAAGTCCACCAATATCCTCTTGGATGAGAAATATCGGGCAAAAGTGGCAGATTTCGGTACTTCCAAATCCGTTTCCCTCGATCAAACTCATGTGACCACATTGGTGCAGGGGACTTTCGGCTACCTAGATCCCGAGTATTTCCAATCAAGTCAATTTACAGACAAAAGTGATGTGTACAGCTTTGGAGTTGTCCTTGTTGAACTATTAACAGGACAAAAGCCAATCTCGTCGCTGAGGGAACAAGAAGGAAGAAGCCTGGCGACCTATTTCATAATTTCAATGGAGGAGAATCGCTTGTTCGACATTGTCGATGCTCAAGTTTTGAAAGAAGGTAAGAAGGAAGAGATTGCATCAATTGCTAACCTTGCGAAAAGATGCTTGAACTTGAATGGGAGGAACCGGCCTACAATGAAAGAAGTGGCACTGGAGTTGGAGGGGATAAGGAAGCTCCAAAACCCTTCGAGTATTCAGCAAAATCAAGAGGACCGTGAGGCGATTGAATCTTATACTGCTGCTTTTAAATCTAGCAAGGCAAACATCGACCCTGATGTCATTACATTTTCGGATGTGCAGCCATTCTTACCTAGTGAGACGTGGTGAAGATCCATTTTGCCTCTTACTCTTGTGAGTCATATTGCTCTGTTTGTAATGGAAATCGGTTTTCCCCTTTAGAGCAAAAGAAAAAGAAAAGAGAAAAGGGAGGAAAACTTGTTAGTTTACCGATAGGAGGATTTTGGTTAGTAATTTATTGGTAATGAACTTATTCTCTGTGTTCGGGATCAAAAAACTGTGAAGTCGTACCAATCCCAAGTTTATTTAGGTCCTGTAATTAGCTAGACATTATGTTACCCGTGTATGTGCCAATTTGGAAATACTATGCAAATTGCAATCATCCAGCTCCAGCATGATGCAATGACTTTAGTTCATCTTGAGATCCTTGAAGATCACACTGAATTGCTGATGGTATAGAGGGATTGTTGCCGGCTGCTGATGCTCCGACTGGTTAGATCAAGATATCATTTAAATCCTCACCATGTGATGTATCAAACTCACCACCCGAACTACATATATCAATGATGATAAAAAAAAAAACTACATATATCAATAGCAAAACAATAACAATAGAAATCAATCATGCATGGACCAACTCGTATATAATCGATATTTGGGATAATTACTAAATAAGTCATAAACCTATCGCACGGATGCTAATTCAGTCCTAAACCTTTCAATTTAGTCAATTTAGTTCAAAGCCTTTTTACAATCTACCAACTTAGTCACTCCAACCAATTTTGGTTGGTTATCGCCGACGTGGACGCCAACCATCCCATGAGGCACGGCAAAATTGTCAATGGCAATACCGACCGACCGTCCGTGACACGGCCAATGTTTACGTCGGCGATTTCTAGCTAAAATTGTCCGGAAATACTAAATTAGCAAATTGGCAAAAGGTTTATGATTAAATTGGCCAAATTGAAAGGTTTATGACTGAATTGGCATCTTTTACAATAGGTTTAGGACTTTTTTTGGTAATTTTTCTAGCGATATTTACTACTCCTTTTAATATCGAAGATGTTTGATGCTCCTTTTTCCATAATTCCAATGATTTTGCCATGATAGTAAATAGTCCCGCCAATGTTTGATTAATTGCCCTTAAGCAACGCAAGTCATGTTGTTTATCACAACAAAATTCTTGAAGATCATAATTTAGTTTTATGTCTGAGCACAAAATCGGGGACTTAAACTATGGATTTTCAATAGCATAAGTTTCCGTAGATGCGCTCCTTGGGTTATACAAGTGAGGGCCAGTACTTGGCCATGGCTGGTGACCAGCCACAGGTGAGGGCCTGCGAGGGTTCGACCCTCGTGGCCTAGGCAAGGGTTGCCCTCGCCGGCTCTCACAAGGGTTGTACCCTCATAGCCTGAGCAAGGGCCGTGACGCCCTCGCCTGTGGCCGGTTGCCAGTCATAGGCCAAAGGGAAGATAATTAAAAAAAAGGAAAAAAATTATTAAAAAATTATTTAAAATGTTTACATTAGTGCCGGCTATGCCGCGTAGTATAGCCGGCGTCCACGTTAGCGATTTCCGGCCTAAATTGGCATGATGGACTAAATTGATACCAATATGAAAAGGTTTAAAACTAAATTAATCCAATTGAAAAGTTTAGGACTGAATTTATACCAATACAATAGGTTTATGACTTTTTTGGTACTTTTCCCATTGAAAATTGTATTGTTTCACTCAATAAAAATCCCAGAAATGGCATTTCTGGCATTGATTTGCTGCGCGTTCTACTAGGCGCAAATGGCACACTACTCCATTCTTTGTACTTGTCCATTGTTGTGATATTTTTTGTGTGGATTTTTCCACAGGAGGACATCCGCGAGCTGCATCTTCATTTCCAATTCCTAAACTCTTATTATATCAAATGATGAAAGATTTTGTGTTAACTTGGAAGTTTACGGAACAGTGATCATAAGAATGAAAGGGTTGAGTAGCCAAGTATCCACGACAAAATGTCATATGTAAATTACAGCTACTCAGCATCACTTGAGACCCTAGAAACAAGCTTGTCAACATAACCGACCCGACGCGTCAAGAGTCCATAATTCTGTTCACACAAGCTAAGCAGTGCCCATGAGCACAAGTTTGTTAAAGGCTCGATCATGGCATAGCGATAACTTTTGATCTCATGGACTATAGGTGGGCTTGAGACCACTGACCAACCTAGCCAAGTTTAGTGGTTGCCCACCAACTTGAAGCTTGTGGGCCAAGGAAAGTCATCTTCAGCGCGATAGCTAGCAAAGGACCCATCGTCTCTCTATTCTATCACTGTTGGAGACTTTAAGTCAATGAACTGTTCTCATACAAGTTCTCAGGGGATAACGTTATTGAAGACCCCAGGGGCCACCATCAACAAGTCATCCGTTGGATCCCACCATGCCGGTCTACGTTAGTTTAGTTGCAAATTGGTTCCATGTAGATGGGACTTGACGTCCTCGAGCTTCGATATTTCTATGATCGAGGGAGTCTTATCGTGTGGACTTGGATTTAGCAACATCTTCGGATTTGCAGCCATTCACACATCGTGAAACAACGGTGAAGGCAGCTCTTTCTGGCATTATCACCCACAAGGACAGGCTCGTGAGTACTTCCAAACAAGCCAATTTACAGACGAGAAGAGACGTGTACAGTTTTGCAGTGATCCTTGTTGAACTCTTAACGGGACAGAACCCAATCCCTTCGCTGAGCGAGGACGAAGGAAGAAACCTTGTAGACTAGTCAACAAATCGGGGGAACTTGCTGTTTTGACCATTCAACAAGATGGATTGTTCTTTCCAGTTCATGTATCAAGAAAATGTTGCAGCTTATTGTGAGGAATACATTATTAGAGTTGCACTTGCACTCTTGGGAACAAGCATCCTGCTTGTGTCAACCTTTGGCCAGTTCGATGCGTCGGTTAGTTTTCAGTGTCGAAAAGAGCTGCGATCTAATTTCAGTTTCAAAAACATGATCGAGTCAACTTTATTAAAGTCATTAAGCTTCAGCATATCTCAAATTATGAACAGGTGCATGATCGAAAGATACATCTGAGAGTACAGCATGTGAAAATTTCTTCCCTTCTTCCACTTAAATAACAGTATTAAGGGACTCGGCCCCTATCCCCTTTCTCCATAAATTAAGGTCCGTGTACATACGAAACGCGAAAATCATATCGAACTTGGTGTTTCAAATTCTCTTCCTATGTATGAAGTTAGACCAGCGAAAAAAAAAATCCCAGATACTAACGCTAACTAGATATTCACATGCGATACCCCATTGATAATGTCCTTATTCTGGGGAAGACTACTCGTGATCACAATGCACTACTTTTTGTGACTGAACAATTTTTGGATTTTGGTCTTAAAATTTCTTTGGACCTAATTGTTTTTTTTTTCAAAAAAATCAGCTATATAGTCTCTCTCTCCCCTCGTCGGTACCATAAATAGTTTCTTATATTTATTTTTACTGAAAATAAGAAATAAAACAGTGCCAAGAGTTCAGCATACTTCTTACAGCATGATCCAGAGCATTAGCGAATTAACAAGACTAGTTTAAAGCAAGAATCATATTTAGTCATCTTCAATCCAAGTGCATGGGGCGCAATCTCATTCATTGGGGAAGCAAAAGACTTCCCACATGATTCACGTACATCTTTTTACCTGTTTTGGGGGGTGTTTGCTCGCTTTACAACGAGGAATATCCTTCACCGAAACTTCGATTTTCGGTTTTTATTAAAGTAGGTTCTGTGGCTTGATTTCTAGGAAAATCGTGGCGAAAAACAGAGTGTAGTGCAGGGTTATATGGAAGCGGGTAGAAATTGAGTGGATTGAAAATGGATCTGAGATCAACAAAGTTTCTAACTATGTTACAATACTCCTATGAAAGCTGTAAAGGACTTGAAGGTTAACTAAAGCTACAGGAAGCTGTAAACGCAGGAAGTAAAAGTGCAGAGGAAACTAAAGTGCATATAAGCTTGAGTGTTTTTGCATTGTTGTCTTTTTTTCTTTTCTTCTTTCTTCTGAGTATTTATATCTCCTCCTATCCTGTAACTGCTTGTCGGTTACTTCTTTGTTTTCGAACTTTGAATCTTGGCGCTTTCAATAACTGCCTTATCTACCCACGTTTTCCAATTTCATTGTCCACCAAAACTTGATCTCAACCGCTGGGATGACTTCCAATTTGGATAAATAATCTCCCACGATCTGCTCGTGCTCACTATCTCCGCTTTTTGCTCATAACTTCCTGTTGTCACGATTCATGTGGCCGGGTTGTGATCTTGCCGATTTTCGGTAGCTTCAACATTTCCCGAAATGTAAACTTTTCATGTTTCGGTAAAATTACCGATTCTCTCCAATCACAGAATTCGGGACATGGTGCCATTCACGCTTACTACATTCCCGAATTTTATCCAAACGTACTTCGGCAGACGACTGAGCTCCATTGTCCGTCGGATTTTGACATTAAACCGACTTGACATCCATGCCGATTTTGGTGTAAACAGGGGACCAAAAGAAAAAATTCCCGAGTGCTTTTATTGATTGCTTGAGCATGAAAAGCATTGGACTAAAAACAATAAAGATTACTCCTGCTTCAATAATAGGAGAAGACCGTGACACACGCACATCGCATAAACAAGTTATAAAGGAAACCACTTTTGCTTTAGGGAAAGTGATTTTTGCTTTCTCCTTTGTAGATTGAAAAGATGCCAAAGCCCATTTCTTTCGTAAAGAGAAAATGTCTTGGTCGTCTTAGTATAAATTTGTTGGAAGATTTTGCCATTTTAAAAGAGATTCTTTTTGTGGAAAATGGTTTTCTTTTCAAAAAGGAGAAAAGAAAAAACAAGTGGGAATACAAGAGCGGGGTCATCAAAAGTTGGTCTACTTGTGATAATCGTTTCAATTTTGCATTCGTGCTCGCGGATTAGAAACTATTAGACGGATATAACTCGGGAAAATTGTCAAATCAGTCCTAAACCTATTGTACGGCGGCCAATTCAGTCCTAAACCTTTTAATTTTGTCAATTCAGTCCTAAACCTTTTAAATTCTTGCCAATTGAGTCCTTCCGGCCAATTTTGGCCGGCCGGCGCTGACGTGGCCGCCGGCCGTCCGGTTAACGCTGACGTGGCAATTTTTAATTATTTTTTTTTTATTTTTTAATCTTTTTTTTTCTTTTTCTTTTTTTTTTTTCTATTGTCTCCCCTCAGGCCAGTCCGGCAGCCGGCTAGAGGGGAGGGCCGGCGAGGCCTCTGGCGAAGCTCGCCCCACCGGCCACCGGCGAGGGCGAGCCTCGCCAGCCCCTGGCTGGGCGAGGCGAGGCGAGGCGAGGTCGAGCCTCGCCGTCGCCTGGGTCGCGACGGCGAGGCGAGGTCGAGCCTCGCCGTCG